GGCTTCGATTAATTTTCTCTTTAAATACACGGTTTACTGAAAAAAGAACATATTTTAATATCAAATTAGTAACACACTGAAGATTAAATGACGTCATGTTGGCTGTCTTAAGAACGAGTTCAAATAAATAAATATGAGTTTTCTCTGTTCGTCCACATCTCTGATTCCCTAAAAATCTTGCGATAGTTTCCTTGCCGGCGTCTAAGTTTATTTAAAAACAAATCTGTGATAGAATATAACTTAATTTCCTTTGTAACTTGAAATGTTATCTACTGCCTCGCTTGTGCAAAATGTCCTGAATATTTCGATTTAAAATTTTTCGTTAAGGTTAAACTTAGGCCAAAGTAAAAAGAGATATTTGTTAAAAACAAAATATAAATAAAATTAAAATAAAAGTTTATAATTCTTCATTGAACCTTCATTATAGTCCATGTATAATTTCTCTCATTCTGTCCTTCCGTGTTACATTTTATCTCTTTGTAAATTGAAAACCATTCGTTTTCGTATGGTCATCGCTGCTACAACTGAAAAATATTATAACGGCTACTTCTGGACGCGGTACGCTTGTTAAAAGAACTTGCTCAGAAAAGCAGCTTTTAAAATTTTCTTTACCATTAGCTAATACTAATCTTAACTTTTACAAAAAAACTTTGTTTAATTCTTTACATTTTAAAACACATGAAAATTAATATTCTTTTAATGTACCTTTTGCTGTTAATCCTTTTAATATTATTCATAGTAACAAATCCATCTAATCAAAATTAATGTATTTCATAAAATGTTTCTTTAATGATATCTATTATATAACATATATATTATAATTTATATTAACTTCAGCTGTACAAATCACAATGAATCTTAGCTGCGACACTATTACAATCGTCTCCATTAACTCTACGTCATTACTGGTTTACTCAATTAAAATATTTACAGTGATGTGCTTGGACGTTAAAATTCCATATCAGGAGGAAAGGTATATCCTACCGTGGTGCTAAGATTCTTCGAAGATTCGTCTTCTCAACATATTTGTAGTCTAAAGCAATTCCTTTAAAAGCAGTCACTGATTTATATGTATGTGCAGGTCACATTAATTATTTATATCTCTAAGCGAAAGAAAACAATGACTTTTACTACATTTAAATAATTTTAAAAAGTTTGTTGTCCTTGTAAGTCAATGAATCAATCAAATAAAATCAAAAATATATTTATTCAAACAGATATATAATGAAACAATACAATGAATGAACACACATATAGATGATAACTTTTTAAAATTGTATTAAACATTTACATTTTTTAAACATCAATATTTACCGAGTTATTAAATTTTCCAGAACAAACAATTTTAGAACACACGTATAAAACTGTAACGTAAAGTTCATTTTGTAAAGTTTGTAAAGTTGTAAAAAAAATTTTGTTTAAAGTTAATATTTTTTTATGATTATTGGCAAGTAGCGTTAGACGTGTGTTCATTTATTGTCGCGATGGTAACGACACGCTGTATATATAGGTTCGTAAGGAACCACCGGCCAATGCCACAAAATCTAAAATTGAACGTTTTTAAATCAACAAAATGTTTCTCCCACTATATTAGTTACTCCAGTATCGATGAAACTTCTTATAAACGCTATGGACAAAGGATGACAATAAATCAATTGATTGGCAAATCACATTACCTCCCAAGCGAGAATTATACTCCGAACTATACTGCATAATCGCTCATTTTGTATCGGTGCCACAAGGGTCAACAAAAAACAATCAATTCTCGATTTACCGGAAACAGTGAACTAATTGCCTTTTTAAACGAACCGTTTTCTTTAACAATTCAACGCAGAACATCCATTTAGCGAACGGAAAACCGACCACACGAAACGTTAATATATTATTCTCCAACTAGAGTTTTAAAGTAATTACATTGTATTTCACTATTGTGGCAGTGAAATAATATGCCATGTTCACAACGCATTAATAAACTTCAAGGCTTGCAATAATTCATTATGATATACGCTAGGGAGTGTAATACGCCAGTTAAATTATTTTACGAACTACTTTGCCCAGTTAACATTCCACCACATTTAACACGCGTTGAATCGTTTAGCTTTAATGTTTTTAGAAATATGGCCGACCTGTCTAGAGTCAGGCTTTACTCGAACATAAGTTTCCTCTCATCGTAATACCTGTGTAGTAAAATTATATGACTTTAAGACCTTGTTTCAATAGATCAACCGTTTATTTTGTGAATGCAGTTCTATCGCTGTAATTTCAATACATCGTTTACTTTATCCACTTGGAACGACGATATAAACTCCATTGATGAAGATAAAACTATTGTTATTAATCAGTTCTGAATATTAATCAGTTCACCTTTTTCACTCAATAATGCATCAAAATAACATAACATACAATTATCCTACGCATTAATGAAAATGATCTCTCTTATATTTATGCAGCAGATGGAAAGGAAGGATTATGTTAACAGTTTTATCGTAATGTAGTTAGCTAGGTAGCTTAGTGCTAAACTGAACTTGCAGTACTAAAAATTCGTTGATTTATAAAGCCATGCATAATTATTAGTAGTAATACGTATTCATATGGAGTAACATGATAGAAGAAATTTCAAAACATAGAATGCAATTTGAACAAACCTCCGCCTATATGCCGTTACGATGTGCTTTCGTATCGATAGTATCTTCAAGGCCCGCTCCTAAGAGGGTCGTTAGAGGTAGCGGATGGCACATAAAAAGCACTACATCTTTCGCAATGCCGGGCCATTTTCATATGGAGGATACAATAGCAGCCTGTGATGACTCGCGTCAGTTCTTCAGGTACAAATGGACCTTTGGTCGAGGGCTACGCAGTTTAGAAGACAACACAGAAGATGTGAATTTTGTACCTCAATCGTTGTATACAGACAATAGGGTTGTCTATAGAGATATTTTTTATAAAGAATCTGACTACATGTGAAAGAAAATGATTAAGCGTCAAGCAAGACTTAAGATCGCGCCCAGACGCTTTACGCTCACGGTGACAAATCTCTACATCTATCTATTTTCTTTCTATTGCATTTTTATCAATGATCGAAGAATTCCTTGTGTTATTCGAATTTAATTTTTTCCCCGAACGAAGAACTGGTTAGACCGATACATCGGCCGTCGCCCCAACGTGTGTTTTTCTGCGCAACAACCACTTGGTTGCACTCCATAATCAAGGACGAATTAGTAACAATTTACAATGTTCATAAATGGATTAGCGCAGAGTAATGATGGCGGGAAACAAAACGGTACCCTATAATGATGAAATCGATTGAGCTATTATTTTGCGTGATAAATCACGTGCTCGGTGAGCGATGCTAGTTCTTAATAGCGTTCAAGATTATAGACTCTGCTGGAACAACCAACAAGCGTTTCTATTCATAGTTCGGCGAAAGGTAATCTGATGTAATAATTACGAAAACTCTCTGGTATTTTGACCCCTTGTATATTGATGCAATTAATATCTAATGTCTATCTATACTACCCCGAGCAGTGGGGAGAGAATGTGGCAAGCGAGCTGGCAAATCAGATATTAAACGATAACCGCCCCTTAAGGACATTTGGAACACCCGCAGGGTTGCAGATGCGTTGCCAACTTTTAATAAAGCAGGCCCGAGCTACCTCAATAACATGAGGAAACCCAGCTTCAAACCGGTCTTCTGTCAGTTCACCAGTCGGACCTGCCCATTCGTGCAACAGCGAAGACTGTTGCCTGGCCGTACCACGGTTAAGGCGACCATGTACACGGGACATAAATACCATTTTTGTATGTGAAGATAAAAAAAGAATGCAAAGCCGTTAATAATGTATATTATGACGTCTGAATCAGATATGAGAGTCTATATAATTATAGTTTGGAAGTCGTAATTTATGTAAGCAAGGTGAAGTCTATCAAAATGATTTAAGTGTTATACTCGTGTGATCATGTCACTCGTATGCCATAGCGTTATTTAAAGCACTTACCGTCAACTTATACCGGGCCCTTTGAAATTTATTATTTCCACACTGCTAACGTTATGAGTTTATGACAATTTTATTCGTGTAAGGTTGCGCTGTCAGATGTCACGTTGCCGTTACTCTTCTGTTATATTATTGTTGGTGTAAATCGAATTGGCGCAACTTTTACGGGCAGTCGAACATGAAATTAGGAATCTTCTTTATGCGATGAGATGGCAAAGCTGGCGCTGTACCTGATGTTGGGTAATAGTCACAGTCCATGGACATTTGCAACAACCGTAGGGTTGCAGATGCGTTGTCACCTTTTATTAAAGCGAGCCATGGTTACCTCACTCAACAGATGAAACGCAGAATTGTAACACTTCGACTTCACGCCGGTCTTCCGTGTGTACCTACGGACGGATCTGCCCTTTTTCGCAGTAGTGGAGAGTGCGTGGCCCTCCCACAGCAAATTATTTCAGCATAGTTTAAACATAGCAAACTTCAAAATTTGTAGAAAAAGTACGAAATGATTGTCGCCGCTGCGTTGTGCTTGAATAATCAATGTAGATAAAGGGCGTTAAAATTTTCGTTGGTGTGGCAATCAGCCGTTTAGCTTAGTGGCAAAAGCGTCAGGCCGCGAATGCCGAAGACGTGGGTTCGATTCCCACAGCGGCGACAATCATTTCGTACTCTTTCTACAAATTTTAATGTTTAATCTTAAGTGCAGAGATTAGCACTATAAACAAAAGGTAAATAGCTAACTTTTTTATTAATAAATAAAATGTGCAAATGTCTTGAAGTATTTCCATCATGAGTCTAAGCTGGCGTTTTTTATCTTAATAAGACTGCTAATGATTTTTTTATACTCGTTATTTCGAGAATGTAATCACCACAGTACGCACATATAACAGCAATGCTTAAATTTACATTCCTTCCGATTATTTCTAAAAAAATAAATAAATTTATTAACGCTAAAGCAGCGTATAATAACGTATCATAAACCTCCAAATGTATGTCGTGCGTAGTACGATGAACGTAGATAATCTGCGTCTAGCGTTCGAAATTCCTCAAAGAGGCAAAACTTTTGCTGAAATCACGTGCGACGATCTCGACGGCCCCATGTTAAACTGCAGCGTCGGAGCCGTCGGTAACACGAAAATTATCGCCTCGCCACGGACGGCGCAGGATAATATTATTGGATTTACGAGGGCGTGCGCCGCCGCTTTGATTTATGCCTTCCTTCGGCGATAAATTACGTCGCCCTGATAGCGCGCCGACCAGCTAGTACTGCATTAACTCGATCAGTTGTCGCCTTCGCCAGTAGAGCGGGAAATCGCACTGAAGCCTCCAGAGCACTATCGTTTCGGTTGCGCGGACGCAAAACTGGTCATGGACGATGTCGAAGTCGAGTAAGATATTATGATTTACCAGAGTTATTGACGTTTTTATCAAAATATTTACCCGACATCGAAGTCGAGTAAGAGATTATGATTAAGTAGATTTGACGTTTTATTATTAAAATTAACGATAATTGCCCGAAAAATAACTAAACTATAACGGCGGTGTTAACACTTGAAACATTCTAACATACTCATCTGTTGGAAAACTACTTTTGGTAATGTAATAAGATCAAAACTTAGAACCCGAAATAACTTCACCTTTCATTGGAAATTCGAATGTTTACCTTCACAGATATCAGAGATTGAGACAAGTTACAAATCCACGACAATTATTCTTCCAAGTCTGCACCGCTACTGTTTCAAACAAAGGTTTATACATGTGCGATAAACTGACGGGAAAATTTATTACAATTTGACTAAAGTCAACAAGGTTCGATAGTAGTACGAAACTTATTCCAGGAAAGACTTGGACGTAAATCAAATTGTATGTAATTTTCCTCCTTCCCAAATTTTCATAAATTGTGGCAACGATGACAGATTCACTTGTTTATTTGCAGAAGGGAAATGTATCACCGAAAATAAGAATTAAGCGGTATAATTCATTCCCGTACGATTATTAGTCATTTTCCAATCTTAAATATTTTAATATAAATACAAGTTTTTGATTTATATACTAATAACATTTGCATATAAATAGCCAATAATTTGTTGTTCTTGTTTATCGCCACATTATGGTATATTAACAATATTTTAAGCAAAATACAGACGATAACTTTAAGACGAAGAAATAAATGAGTTATTTAAGCTCACCGGCTATTTCTACTTTAACCTCTTCAATTTTATTACTATTTCATTTCATACGTATTTATGATAATTTTATCGAATCGTGAACGCTTAATGTGATCATGTCTACAAACCGATTCTTTATAAGACGGGCTTCGCTATTCTCCTCTGCTTAATCGTGAAAGCCATTATAGATACATTCACTATCACAACAATATCTTGAGTCGATAGCAGCATTTTTACGTCCATTAACTTCACTGCTTAATGCTTTGTACGAAAGGAGCAAACATCTGCAGGGGCTTTCATATCGCAATACTATCTCAAGCCCACAGCCAACCGTATCCTTAAACAAAGACCATTCATCCGCCGATGCAGTCCCGAGATTATCATATTTAATGCCCCACTCGTTATTAATGCCAAGTTGCAACGTAAATTGCACACGGTAACGCCCAATAGATCTCAATATGGCCGCACCGATAGCGGGGAACGGAGAATTACTGTCGACGATTTAAATATCAGCGCCAAAATGCGATATACAGGCATAAATTGAAATAATTGCTCGATCAGAGACGGAACGAATCCTTATTTTGCACTTTAATGACTCTTGACCATTTTCGGTGCGATTTATTTTGCACGGGCCCGCGTAAAATATGAAGTCCCCTCGTTAATATTAACGCAAAAGGAAATAGAGGACTCACTTTGGCGTCAATAAAGTTAAGAAGCGTTGTTAAATTTTAATTCGGCCCCTGTCTTTGTTTCAGATGTTTTAATGGGCGAGGGGCGCTGTTGTATTTTTTTTGATTTGCGTATTTGCTAATAAAAATTTAAGCGTCCAGCAAGTCGATTGCCTGTAATTTGTTTCCATAAATATTTGTTTGGAAACTTTTTTGATTACTTTACAATTGTTACATATTTTTATAGAGGAAATTGTATTAATTATTTATTTTATTAATTGTTTTGTTTAAAGCATTCTATTATTAACAAAAAGTTCGTTCGTTCAAAGTTCGTTTGAGTCCACTACTGAACATAGGCCTCCCCTACAGACTGTTACGAAGCACGATCTTGAGCCACCTGCATTCATCAACTTCCCACACACTTGCATACGTCGTAATTCCAACTCCAACTATTGGGAGCTCTTTCTTCACTGCTGGCCGTATGAGACAGCTATGCTTGGTATTTCTGAGTCTGAGATAAAGTTCGCAATGAAGAAATCCGCAGTAGAACAAAGATAACCGATAACCGTTGGGCAAGAAAGGTTCTCGAGTGACAGCATGGTTCTAGCAGTAAAATACTTTACTGATTAATTCGTATAGAAGTTTCAAACCATTGCTTTTTTCTATATGTGATATGTTGACAAGCAAACAGACAGTTTAACTGATTTTAAGCGATTATCAGCCTTCGTAGGTTTGAAGATGCCTTACCAATCAACTGTAATAGCGCCCCGGGCAGGTCCGTCTGGGGCAGTATCACGACCTCAGAAGACCAGTGAACTGGACGTGTTATACTTCGGCGTTTTGTCTGGTGAGTGAGGCAACTGGAACTGACTTTATTACAAGGTGGCAACGCATTTTAAACTCTAAGAGTGTTGCAAATGTCCATGGGCCGCGATCATCACTTCCGTCAGATGATCCACCAGCTTGCTTGCCATCTTCTTACATTAAAAAAAAACCTTAATCAGCATTCCTCAGTTACCTCAGTCACCAGGCACACCGCAGACTTATATAAAACACTACTACTTAACGAAGATCCTCTGTAAGGTATTCCTCCGGATGATCCAAGCCACTTTATTATTGTTATCTACGGCAAACACTTTGAAGTTGTGGTTAGATGGCATTTTTGATTCACTAACATGGAATTGCGATAATAGTAAACCCAGACTCCTAAGAAATATCTGCGTATCAAACAAAATTTTCCACCAAGTAGGCAATTCATGTGGTATGTTGACCGCTTAAACCAATGCGCCTTTATTTTCCGTGGGAAAATCCTTTATGGATCCCCTGTCACTGGATGGGGGAAGGGACTGTCGTATCAGCCGGGGACACGGGAACACGGGACGCAATCTTCGGAGACCCCGGCGCGACAATGACCTTTTAGGACACGTCACGAGCCCCATATTGAGCAACAGACACCCCCGTGCCTGCCGCTCAAGGTCGCGCGCGCGTAGGCCAGCCTCCTGCGCCCTGGTCTCCGGCGGCGAATATACAGGGTGGCAGTAGTTTCCCTTTCCCTCTCCGCGGCCTCCTTCCGGGTGATAACGTTTTCGGACGCGGGCAATATGCGAGGACAGCACCCCACGCCCTCTCACTGTCAACCAAAGCGCGAACCACGCCTAACTAAAATTCCTTCCTTAACTAAAATTTTGCTCAAGATATCTAAATATCCTTAAAGTACTCGTTTAGAAATCGATCACATTTCACTGACATTATCAGTCACTCCGTTTGAATACAATGTGGGTGTCTTCTAGATCTTGCGAGAATGGCTTTGACTGTGATCTATTTAAATGCCTTTAGGTAAAAGTAGTTATTAGTTAGCAAACATGCTATGCCTTTTTGCAATGAAATAAAATCTTAAGTACGCATAGTTAATTATTCTGCTGTAAATCATTAAATTTCTGCTTAAACTTGAACTTCAGTACAAAAAGATGAAGCACAAGACTAGCTAAATTAATCTTATATATGTCGCAGGATCAATTTGTGGCGCTATAATTTTATTACAACACCATCTATTGGTAGCTCTCGGAAACGTCAAGTAGTGCGCTTGAGTAAGGTCGATACAGGAAGTGAGAGAGCGGACTTGACGGTTATGAGTTGTGGAAGTCAATTGACATCTGACACGGAGGTGTTGTGTTCTGGACGTGCTTGGGCACGCCACTTAGAAAAGGTACGGCGGTGCGAGCGGTCATCTTCCTGTATCCAACTTGCTGCGTTTCCATTCAATAGCGTCGGCGTGGTTAATAGTTATTTTCGTTATTGCTGATTTTAATCGAACAAGTAAACTACAGTGCTACGTGATAACTTTCATTTTGCGCGTATAACATGTCCGATGAGAGATTTGACAACGAGTTGTCCTATGTGATCCACCTATCTTCGACATATAATAATATGCGGTTCAGTAAGTTCGGTTTGGCTTATGACTTGTAAGTAGATCAGCTTTTAATATTCCGCACGTAAAGTGTACATATTGTAAAGATTGTCTTCAACTATGTAAGTTGGTAGGATGAAAGACAAAACAACTTAGTTGTCCTTCACCCAAGCTATTCCGAAAAGTGATTAGCCGCTGTGTATGACATCCATGCAACTAAATAGCTGAGTGGAGACCATTTTGGTGCATTTTTTTTATACTTTTTAGCTTTGTATATCTATTGTATTAGTAATTTATAATGGAATAAATGTTTCTTTCTTTCTTCTTTTTTTTTTTTAAATACTTTCTGGTAAAGGCTTCTTGCCATTTCAAAATCTTCTTATGTCTATTATCGCAGTACATTCGTAAATCCTTACCCGGTCGTCTCACGGGCCCCGACGGCAAAAAGTTCAGTTTGTGACCACTTTCCGGCCCGCCACGAAATATTTCCATTAAAATCGTCGAGGCGGCACTTTGTCAAGTTTATTGCGATCCGTTGTCACGGCCCATTATGATCTCGCGTAAGCAGCCAATTAATTACCACCAGCTATTTCTTCTGCCAGGTGATAATTGGGGGCTACGGGCGGCGAGCGCGATCGTTAATGATAATAAAGCGGCCTGAATAATTTCGAATTAATTGAGATATCAGTTTATCTGTAATGCAAATGATTTTAAACGGTGTTTCGCGTACAGATTGTTGCTCGCTCATGAGAACGCCTGCGGCTTCGGTGTTAATGTCATCCTTTGTAGTGCTTTATAGAAATTAAATTGAAACAAATTTCTTGCATCAAATCAATATATATTTTCAAAACTTCTACAACGAATAATAAAGACAACATTTAAGTTTGGAGGAGGAGAGATATTACGATTTTTTTAAGACATAGGTATTATATTATGTTTCCTTGTATAAGAGTTCTAACGTTTTTACCCTTGATCCTAATATTTTAACTATTACTTAACTTGAATATTAACAACTATTATAACGACAAGCAGCACTAGTGGTTATATAACCGTCCGGGAAAGCGGCCGAAATCCAAGTGACCACTGCTCCATGCGACCATGAGTTCATTGGCTCGAGTAGAAACGTCATATCCGATATACTCGTAC